TGCACCCTCAATCTCTCCCATCACTTTTTTCTTTTCCTTTTTTTTTTTTTTTTTTTTGCCAAAATATGAAAATTTTCAAATCCTTTTAATTCCCTTCATACTTGTTTGGGGAAGGAGTGACAGCTGGTTAATGGAGCCTTCCCTGTTTCCTAAAGTACCGTTAGGGAGATAGGAGTTTCCTGATGGCACAAGTACTCACTTGTGGCCTTACTCTGGAATAAAAACCAAGCAAGAGAAACAGACTATAAAAGTTTTTGGAGGCACTAAGGTGTCAAGCTTCTATTTCAAGGGTTAGCAAACTTTTTAAATAATGGACAAATAGTAAATATCTTGGGTTCCGTGGACCATACTGTCTCTGTCACAACCACTGAACTCTGCCATTGCAGCTCCAAAGAAGTCATAGGCAATACGAAAATAGATGGATATGGCTGTGTTCCAATAAAACTTTATTTACAAAACCAGGGGGTGAGTCAGAGTTTGCTAACTCCTGTTTTATCTTATGGCAGTCTCATCCTTCTCTATTAAAAGTAGTTATTGCTTTTCACTCCAGGATACAAGCAACATACAATGAAATAAATGTGGTTGGGAATATAAGAAGCTTTAATGACAGGTATAGCGTGTCTTAGTAAAAAAAAACAAAAAACCTTTTATATTGACCTCAGTTAGTAAAATGGGTGTTTGTATGAAAATATGGTTTTTCTTTTACCAGCACCAAGTACAGTGTATGTGATGGTGGTAGAGGGGGTTATTGAAGAATCGAACATTGAACATAACCGTTGTTTGGCTTCCCCTACTGGATTCACGCTTAGCCAGACGTTTGTGATGGGCCCAGGAGAGCATGTGGAAAACATTAATTCTCCAGTGGACTTGGTGTCTGTTGAAGAGAAATAGGTCCAAAGGAGAAGGCACAGTGTCTCCAGGCTTATGCTGTCATTTGTTTCTTTGTTTGGGGATGGAGAAATTCAGATTAGATGTGTTTCTGCTATAATGCCATATATGCATGTGTGAGTGTGTGTGTGTGGGTGTGTGTGTATCTATATCTAATTGTGGGTGTGTGTGTTCCACATAACCTCTGCAATATAGCCCACTAAAAATTACAGGGCTTATGGGGAAAATAGAATAGAGGAAAATCATTTAAAAACTTATGAAACTGTAACCATCGCACTGGAAAATTATTGAAAATTAAAACAAAACAAAAGGGGAAATAAACTAGCACAGTTAAATCTTCAGTCACTGACATCATTATCACAAACATCTCTACCAGCTGATTCTTTGCAGCCTTAGACTGGAGCATGGGCTTTTTTCTTAAGAATGAGGCCTTCAAGGTCATTTGCTTATAAGGGAGAAGGGTTCTTTAAAACTAAAAATCTAATCCAGAGTATAGATGTCTTCTCATTAAATTATTTAATCCTGGGGGGAAATGTGTTTGGAGCTCCTTCATCTGCATTCCCAGGTTTCCCATATAATTTAACATGATGGAAATTATGGCAGCTGTTCAAGCTGCTAAAACAATTGTGTTAGTTTTCTATTGCTGTGTAATAAATTATCACAAGCTTAGGGACTTAAAACGGGATATTTATTATCTCACAATTTCCGTGGGTCAGAGTCTGACCTGCTAAATGGTTTCCTCTGCTCAGGGCCCCACATGGCTGCAAGCGAGGTGTCAGCCATGAGTTCTTTTTGGGAGTGTGGGTTCTCTTCCAAGCTCACATCGTTGTTAGCAGAATTCAGTTTCTTGCAGTTGCAGGGCTGAGATCCTCTTCTAGCTGGTTGTCAGCTGCTTCTGGAGGCTGCCCATAGCTCCTTGCTATATGTATTTCTCACAGGCTCTTACACAACCCTTCTTACAACATTTCAGCTACTTCTAGGCATAATGCAGATATGAGAACTTGCTAAGGAAATCTCAAGAGAAGAATATTGCAGGGTGATATATCTCAGGAAAACATAGAAATATTCTAAAAGCGATTAAATTATAATAAAATTTAAACAAAATATTATGAAATCTGTATAAAAATATACCATGACTCAAGTGAATATTTATTTCTGGAATTCAAGATTGATTTAGCATTTGAAAAGCAATCAGTGGGATTCACCACATTAACGGAATAAAGGAAAAATAATTATAACCATCTCAATTGATGCAGAATATGAATTTGATATAATTCAATACTAATTCATGATAAAGCTACCAGCAAAGTAGTACAATTAAGAAATAAAAACCTTATTCATGTAAAACTCAGACCCTTGAAATTCCTCTTCATTCTCGTGGTGCTGTGGACTCATACTTAGTGACTGTGGATCTTTACTTAGCACTTTGGTTGCCTCAAATCTCATTAGCCTCAGTTATCGTATAGGATCCTTGTGGCAACCAAGCAAGTTTGTCCAACTCAATTCAATTCAACTTTATGAGCATCTTTCTTATACCTAATATGCCAGCTCTGAGCTTATAAGATACTTGTCATCAGTATAAAAGGCAAAAGAAATACTTTAACAATTGAAATTTAAAATGTGCTTTAAGGACACTAGAAAGAAAATGAAGACAGTACACTGAATGGGAGAAAATATAAGCAAATTACATATCTTATTAAGGACTAGCATCTAGAATATATGAAGAACACACAACACAATAATAAAAAATATTCCAATTTAAAGACATTTCTCCAATGAAGATATAAAAATGGCCAATAAGTATGGGAAAAAATGTTCAACATTATCATTAGTCATCAGGGAAATGTAAATCAAAACCAAAATGAACTATCTCCTGATGCCCACTAAGATAACTAAATTCAAAAAGTCTGATAATAATAAGTGTTGACAATGAACATGGAGAACCTGGAAGCCTCAGACTCTGATTATGGGTATGTAAAATGGTTCAGATGCTTCAGAAAGCAGTCTGGAAGTTTTTCAAATGATTGAACTCTGAGTTACTTCATGACCCAGCAATTTCATTCTTCAGTATACAACAAACATCAAAAGAAATGAAAGCATACGTCTACACAAAAATTTGTATATGAATGTTTATGACAGCATTATTTATAGTCAAAATAAGATTCA